CAGCAACCTAAGGCATCCTAAGGCAATTAAGTACTTTAGGGAGTTTTGCTGCAGTATCCCTTCGTAGAAATGAGGTCCACGCCATACACTGGAGCTGCACCAATTCTGCTGTAGGCACGGCCCCAAGCCCCGTGCATCTGGCCCAGACGCTTCGCTTCAGCTTTGAAGCTGCGGGGCCCCGTGGCCCACCAAGCCGCAAAGAGCCGTCGCCTTGAGCTGCACAGCTCAGGGCCTGCAGCATTGGCACCAGTTGCTGCGTAGCCAGGCTGCCAGAGCGATCCTTCCGAGAGCATTTGGACAGTGCTTGAACAAGCGTATGTGCAGGGAGTACTATATTTGGCACAAGCAGAGGCAGACAACAAGAGGAGCGCACGTCCATGGGGAGTTACTTGTTTCAGACGACCAGGTCGCTCAAAAGTTCATGTCACAGCTGTCCATCCACAGCCTCAATTTTTATTTAATCTTCCTGTTGCTGCAGACAGCAGCGGTAACATGTCTCCATCCGTAGTTGCAGGGAAATGTTAATAATCACATATGCATATTCAGCATCGATGTTTGTTGCCGTGCTGCTGTTGCTTACATTTGTTTTTTCGCTTATCTCAGATTCTGGTCGCGGAGAACACAAAACGCTGCCTCATGGACGTGAGCGCCAAGTGGGGCACATCTGAGAGCATCATTTCTGGCGCAAGATTGTGCAGGCCCAGCAAGCGAGCAGAAGTATGCAGCTGCAAGGACTGCAACAAGTCGCTGCAGCAGTGGTTGGAGTACACAGTCGGGATAGTTCCGCGTAAACGCCTTCTCTAGGCAGTCCGTCGTGCGGAACATGGCAGAGCACTCGCCAAGAGTACTTTGCAAAACTACAACAGGCACAAGGTAATGATCAGTCTTAGGTGCAAGGAACCTGAGCCAAGAATGAGAGGAACGTACTTGCGTGATTGCCTCCACCTCTTCACGGAGGGCCCAAAGTACGTAGTCGCCGGCAAGACCACTGCATCTGGTGCAGGACAAGGCATGAAAACGGAGAAGCTGCAGCAGGGCCGCCCAGCATCGCCCAGCTTCTTCACGCGGGGCCTCTCCAAGAGCGTCCCAAGTTGCGCCGGCGCCTGTGGTGGACAGACATCTGCCGTACTGATAAGGTCGGGTGTAGTTTGCGCAGCTATGCCAGCTATGGGTAGCTGGCTTCAAAACAACCCAAGCTGCTTGGCCTGGAGCTGTGCGTAACCCAAGCGGGTCAGACACGGGTGCGTTCCTGTGCCAAAAGTTTGTGAAACCATGCCCGTCACAAAAAATCGAACTAATGACACTGTGCCTTGAGCCTCAAGTCGGCCCAGCACATTGGCTAAGCGCAGGGTCCATGCTGGTTCCCAGGGCACCTGTACAGCGTCTGCTGTGCAGATCTTCCCTCCTGTGCCGACCTATATGCCCACACCTGCTCACCCACGTCACGTGGCAGCCTTCGCGCAAGCTCAGCTAAGGCCTTCCAGCATCTTGCATCTCGTCGGTTTAAGCACTAACTTGAGAGCGGCCTGTCGCAGACCGGCGCCTGGACCACCTGGACCCAAACCTGCCTTCATTCGAAGGGAAAAAAATCGCTGCCCGCTGCACAGCACATTTTCAACTGCGAGAGTCCACCTCGGGGATTCGCTCCATCGCGCTGAGCAGCTCTGGCACGCTCCCTAGGTGCTGGGCCTGCAGTGAGGGCACTTGGAAAATGCGGGGAGATGCCCCTTCAGTCCTTGAGGCCATGGCTAACTCCTGCTGCGCACTCCTGTGCGCAGACTATCACGCAAAAACAAAAGCACCTCGCGGCGCTGTGCTGGTCCTCGCATCGCGGAGCAGGAGGCCCAGGTCACCTGCAAAGCCTCACTGCATATGGCCGTTCTCCAAGCGTTGCTCAAGAGGTTTAGGGCCTCCTGAACTCCAGGCTCGAGCCTGAGTTGGGCACACCTAGCAAACTCTCGCTGACACCTTGCTGAGCATCTGGCCGATCCAGCCCCCCAGCGAGCCAGGAGGCGTGCCATGAAGGCAACCCCGCTCCAGTCCAAATGGTGTGGCTAGGGTTATGATTTAGACGATAAGTTTTCTGATGCATTAAAGACGACGACCGTTTCGCACACGGCGACCCAGGCATGCGCAATCACTGTGACTGTTCACTTGTAGATGCACAATGATGCACAGAACGAGCGCACAGCAGACGGCCATCCGTGACAACAAACAACCCAAACAAGTTTTCTTCTACACCTCTGGAACTTCGCGGAGCTTTGTGTGCAGAATCCATGGAAGGATAGTTCATGGCGGCTAGGGCCAACCACAAGATATCACAAGAACCTCCTGGAATGCTGGAATGCACAGTGTATCACAGAGTAACCAAAGGGCGAACCATGTCGGTCAAGCTGTCGTGATGTCAGAATTTGGGGACAGCATGGGCTGGGCCTTCCGTGCTTCATGCAAGCGCAAGTTCTTGGAGCCATTCATGACATCCCTAGGTAGCTGGTGCAAAAGATCAAGAAAAGACTGACATCTTCGCGTCTTCGCGTGTAATAGGGCCTCACTCAATGTGCAATGTACACACGGCAAACAGAATGAGCAAAAACAATACAGTAGTAGCATTCCATTAGCTGCGGCCAACTCTGCAATGTTCTATGCAGCTTCATTGTCAGCGCCGACATCTTTGCTCTGTACTGGCAGTCTGGAAATGGAAAGTGCTTTGGCTGGAACGATTGGAACAAAACACAGCACAAACATCCTTTCGTGATGCAGAGATATCCCTCCAAACCACAAGGTACACTTGCAGCATCCCATTTCCATCCCGCATCGGCAACACTGGCGCAGAATTTCCAGCACGCAGCCCCAAATCACTAAGGTTGGTTTTGAATCCTAGCTGCTCGTTCTTGGTGCGTGCTGTTGTTCCTGCTGTGGTCTGTCGAGGAGGCCCTTGCGTCTGGCAGAAGACATGTCTCAAATAAAGCCTCTGGTTCAGCAGCCTGACTGCGCCGTTGAAATTAAAATGCCCTTAGCAACATTTCGGGTGTGAAGCATTGCAAAGCCGTTTCATGAGGCAGCCTCCGCTTGCAGCTGGCGTGCTGCCGGCTTTGCCGAGCCAGCTCTGCATTGGAGGTTAACTAAGCTACAGATGTGGACCTGCATTATCTGGAGCATTGGGTGCACTGCAGCAGCAACATGCTTGCAGGCACCTATCGAGCCGCCACTTGCTCCTGCAACCTGTCGATCAACACCTGGGCGCTTACTTCAAATTCAGCAGAATTTATTGACCTCAAAGAAATTCCGTATTTGAGAACAGCACAGAACTGAACAGGATAAACAAGCGTTAAGTGCCAGTCCTGCTTCTCAGACAAGCTAAGGCGAGCCTTGACAGGTCAGCGGCGAGGTAAGGCTCAGGAAATCTCAGCGAGCTTGTTGCCATTGCAAAGCTTGACTTTCCCTATGTGAATGGCTAGAACTCTTGGCAGATTTCCTTCCAATGAGACTTGAACTAGCTGCTGACGCCATCTCCTTTCCCGAAAAGCATTGCTGCTAAAGCACTTCTTGCACGTTTTTGTTTCAATCCCAAGGCAAATTTTCTTGTCTCGAGAATCCAGGCCGCATCGCATAATGAGGCCTGTGCAAGAGGGAAAGATGGCGTCAATATCTGTGCCTGGAGTCAAGAAGTTTCCAAATCTTCGTGCTCATTGGGTGCGCGAGCTTCAACGGATTCATGCGGTCGTCAAAGCCAATGGGCGGTGACCGCTCCCTCCTGTTGAGCACTTCCATGCTTTCCTTGCAGGCCCTCATGATGGTGCAGCCTGGTGAGGCGTGGGATGGCGAGAATTCATGAGGCCTGCGTGCTGCGGATGACAGGGCACTGGACATTCAACACTAAACCATGCTCTTGAAGAATAACAGTATAAAGCCCACCAGAGTTTAAAGCAAACTTGTTGGGCAAAATTTGGGGCGTAACTTTAGAGGCAGAGGCTGTTTTAGGCCCAAAACGATCTAGATTTAAAGCATACAATGCACAGACTCTTAAAACAACACGTTTAAGGTTTGAGATTTAGTTTCAAATTCTAGGGTTCTCCACGCTGAAACATAAATTTTGAAACCTCAAATCCCCAATCAGAGAGCTGATTCTGAGACCTGAATTGCTTATTCAGATTCATGAGGAATTAGAGGCTCAAACATTGCTTCCTGAGCTGCCCCACGAACCCTGTGTGAGAAGCTCGTTCTTTGGATTAATGATGATTAATGGAAAACCCTCCAGAAGAATAGCAGACATTTTCAGGGTCATGAGTTTCGCATGTACGTGGCTGCTTTCAAAACCAGAAAAGGCAAGCTGATTCGGAAGACTGAACTGCTGAATCAGAGAGCTGATGTTGAGACCTGAATTGCTGAATCAAAATCCATTAGGAATTAATTCGAGACTCAGGCAGTGCGTCCTGAGCTACCCCCACGGACCTTGCGTGAGAGGCTCTTTCTTTCGGACTATGGGGAAACCCCCTGAAGTAAAAGCAAATGTTTTCAGGGTCATCAATTTCGCATCCTCTTGCTATTGGAACCTATTCAAAATACATACTGTAAAAACCTAGTTCAGATAGATTTGAGCCTAGTTAAACCCATGAAAAAGTAAATTAGAACCGATTAAAACGCAATCAAAACCTAATGAAAATAAATAAGTCTTAATGAAAACCCCTCCAAATCTCTTTAAATCAGGTCACTACCCAATCAAAACCTTTCAAAATCCGCTATCTAAGACGATTTCATTTTCAATTCATCGACAATAAAGACCATGAAGCTCAATTATGAATACTCAAAACTGAAACATTCTGGGATCTTTAGAATGATGGATCGATGCTATTATTGTAGGGGTGGGGGGGGGGCAATCAAGAGCATGGGCTAGTGTCGCAGGTGACCATTGACTGTTGAACAAAAGATCCGTGTTGGCTCGACACACTGAACCTCCTTGGAGGGTAAGAGCGGGACTGACCCTCAGAAATTCAGACACTTCAAATGTAGCTGCATGATGCTTCAAAAGACTGCAGCTGCTGATGTTGGAAATTCATGCTGCTGGCCGTCGTGCGCAAAATTTTCTCATTGGCAGCGTTTGCAAATGCTAGGTACCCTGCCGCAGTTGCCAAAAGCATTTCCACCTTTCCGCAGGCTTGGGCGCTACACATGTGGCGCACGATGTGACTCAGCTGTTGCAATCTGAGGGCCCCAACCGTAACCGGCGTTTGGCAAAAAGTGCGAATGTGCACGTACGTGCACAGAAACCTCCAGCTGGAAACAAGCAAATGAAGAACTGGCAGATAATCCTCCCTGACAGCTAAGGAGGCTGCATGACGAATTGGCAGTCAAAGCGGTCCATCATACCACCATGCCCAGGAATCAGGTTGTTGAAATCCTGCCACAGCACATGCCACATCATGAAACATCATGCAACAAAAATCATCAACAATCGCAAATGAAGCGGACAAACCTAGCCTTGATTCCATAAGCCCGCTTTATGGCAGAAGAGAGGAAGCCGCCAAATGGAGCAGCGAAGGAAGCGAAAAAACCAAGACCTCGCTGCACCAAGCAAATCAAGACAAGAGCAAGTCAACCAAGCTGATCTGCATTTGGTCTCCGACTCAACGCATGAATTTGTGCCTCAGTAACGTGCGCTGTTGACCAGCCGCTGGCGCAGGACATCCTGCCATGTCCTGCCTGCGCACGCAAAACGGATTAGGCCACCTGCCCGACAAATTTGAAACTGACCGACTTGGTGAACAGCTGGTATGGACCTCGCGGGGAGCACGAACGAGCGAACCAGCTCAGCTCATCAAAATGCATCAACTGTGACTGAAATCTTGAAAACTACAAGTACAACATCCTACAGTCCTAAAAACCAAGGATGGTTCAGAAATGCGTAGGATTTGCTCCATCAACACAAGGACAAGAAGGCTCGGGCGCTGCCAGCACTTCCCACGAAGCTTTCATTCCACCTGTCAGTCTAACAAGGTGCCTGATGCTGCATTTAACATGCATCGCAGCTCCCAAATCTACGGCAGGCAGGCTCGGAAGGGCGTCTCCGATGATGGCTTCGATGCTTTGAGGTCTGCCAAAGGAGCACATATCGCGCATGTCTGGCAGGGCACATTTTGAACCTTCCATGGCGGTCTGCAGCTTACATAAACTTCACAACTTGAACCTGTGCACAACCACCGCCGCTGTAAATCAGGAAGCTTTTCCTCCCGACTCCCCGTGTCAAAGGTAAAGTGTCAGGTAGACACCACCTTTGTGTTTTTTGGGGTCATGTTAGCCTCACATTAAGAATTCCCCCATCAATTATTAAAACTCCCAGCGTCGGAACACAATTATAACTCCCGCTACAATTATAACATCCCCGCCGAATAATATTGTTTTACAGACAGATGTTCAGAGATGTTTACTTCAAACTTCTGTCTGGAGAAGGTGGGAAGCGTATGAGTCTTATTTTTAGAGTGTCGATTATAGAGCTTGTTTACTGCAGGACCTGTTTTTGGCCTGGTGCATGTAGAAAGTATCAGGAATTGAACTTAAAGTTTGTTCACTGCAGAATCTCCTGGTACACCTAGAAATTACAAAGACTGAACTTAAAATCCGCTTACTGCAGAAGCTTTGTTTTGATGCTGGCCGGAAAAAATTTTGTAGAGAAGCTCATTTCTCGCCTGCAGGGATTCCATCTTGGATTCTAGATGTCCGGAAGCTCTGGAAAATCCAGAGCGTTGCTGATAAAAAGGACATAGATTTCTTATACAAAACATTATACAACCTACCCAAAATCAATCCACCAAAGGGGGTAGTCAAAAGGGGGTAGTATACGTACGGAACCCCGGAATCCACATTAATAAAACCTCCCTAGTAAGGCCCTAATTTGCAATAGTCTCTAATAAGGCCCTTATTTAAAACAGTCCCTGATAGAGCCGTATTTTCAAATAGTCTCTGATAAGGTCCCACTTTGACATAGTCCATAATAAGGCCGTAGTTTGAAATAATCCCTAATAAGGCTCTAATCTGAAATGGTCCTTAGTAAGGCCCTACTGTGAATTATTCCTAATACAACCCTAATTTGAAATAGTATCTAACAAGGCCTTAATTTGGAATAGTCTCTAATGAGGCATTGATGTGAAATAGTCCCAAACAAGGGCCCAACCAGAAATAGTCCCTGATAAGGCCCGCACTGATACAGATACTAGTACTAATACTAATATTAATACTGACACTGATACAGATACTAATACTAAAACTAAAACTAATACTTATATCACTTCGTAAACATGATTTGTTGCCATCTTTATTCAGGAGGCCCTGGAAACCGAGATTGATCACTCGAGGGGGGAGAGGGGGGGGAGGGGGAGGGCAATTAATGCGAAGCTAACATTTGCAGGAATTTAGACTGTAGCTCATATGAGGCTAGGACGGTCCACAACACCACCTTGAGTACAAAGGCCAGTCATTGCCAGGAAACCATTGTGTTGGCTTGGAAGACACAAAAGCATACAAAAGCGAAAACCTTCTTCACCTGCATGTGCCTACGGGCTGCAAGTACGAGATCACAATAAAGGCAGAGGGGAAATTCTGGGCTCGATCGTGCTGGACCGTGTAGTTTCTCGCAGAGATCTCGCAGGAAGATGCAGGAATAACCGGAATGATGTCACAACAGCCACTCGAAGCACATCTTGCCAGGATCTGCCGTGTCAGCCACCAGACTCACCAAACACGCCACAAACGCTGTAGATGCGGTAGCACGCCAAATTTTTGGGCAACAAATGGCGACATGCTGACCGGCTCATGGCATCCCAATTTCTCATGATGGCCAAACAGAGATGCTCTGGCAACGACCGCCATGCTTTCATGCTTGCAAAGCCACATGAATCAGGCACCTGGGACCTTATCCGGCAAGTAAGACGATTAAGACGAAACTTTAGGATAAGGATAGGCGATATGACCGTTAGAAAAGCAAAAAAGCAAAATCGGGCAAGCACAAACACATGCCCTGATCATGTTGATCCAAATGATTCTCAGACCCCTCGGTCTCTGTGCCACAATACAAGCATGTCCGCAATTGCTTTACGAACTGCGTGCCCAGATTGCTGCTTCTTGCATGTCTGGGCTAGCCCGGGCTCGGGGTGATTCCATTTTCGTTGCGTTGTACATATCAGTACAAGCGAGCTCAGTTGTTCCCAGCCTGTACATCTGCCCAGGTTCGCAAGACAGCGAGTGAACCTCAGCATGTGCTGAAGCTGGACCAACGCCGTTAAAGCCAAGCGGGTGAAAGATCATGTCTTACATGTGAGGCTCAGGTACCCAAGCTCCTGGCGGACAATGTAATTTCTTCTGGCACCTTAGCCCACAACGACGTAAGGATTGCAAAGTCACCTCCACAGACAACAACAGGATTGCCTCACGCTGTGGACATCTACAATTGCAATCTATGAGAACTTCAGGCAGCAGTCCTTTTCACGTTGCAATCTTTAGCTCAGCCAGAATCTGTGTCGTGCACACCCCAGGCCGTACGTTCTTGACATTGTTCAGATGCAAGAATACTAAGCTAGCTAGTCAGCATGTGGTCTCTCAGATAAACCTTCACAAGAATGGCAGCAATACTTCCGTACAAAAACTATGTCCACTCCTCACTGGGTGTCTCACGCATGTCATCCACTTGTAAGCACACAACCTCCTGCACGACATGGGATTGTTTGCAGGTCCAGGAAAGCAAAAGCATCCAAATGCAAACTCCTGGAGAACCATAATGCAAACAGCATTGTGCAGACCTCTGGAAACAATACTTCAACATCCGATTTGTCATGCTCTGGCACAGAAACTGCTCGTGCTGCGCCCCACGCTGCACTTCCCAAAAACCCTTCCCAGGTCTTGTTTGGAGACCTCATCCAGCAGCCAAGCACAACAAGAACTATGAGGAAGCATTTAACATATCATTTAGCATGCCCCCAGAGAGTACAAGCTGGAGTGGATACTTTGCTCCAGTTCAAGAATCAAGGAGGATGGTGTGTAGTGAAGCCCAGGAAGTTCACACAAGCTTTGGACTTGAAGTCAATGAGAACAAGTGTCAGGCAGTTCCAAGAATCTCCGCCGAATCAGCTTCTTTCCAAACAGCCTTGGCAGAATCTGTTCCAAGCAGGTACTATCAAAAAAGGGCTTGTATTGTTTTTTTTTTGCACCTTGAAACAGCTTGTGTCCACTGCAGCG